AATTACAATTCATGAAGATGAGATCATTTTGAGGAAGTGATTATGGACAGATTATTTAAAAGAAAACTTACTAGACGCTTGCCTGGTCTCTTCAGGCAGAGAGTTCCAGAGCCTAATGGCCTGGAGACGGAAGGAGTCGGAGAGAAAACCAGTTCGGTGAAGAGGGGTGGAAAGAACGGGTTTGTTGGAGGAACGGAGCTGACGTGAGTGCGTAGAGCTGAGAAGATTAAACTGAGACTTAAGATATGAACTACCAGAGGAAACCGTTTTCTCTTGTAATTCACAGCAGTTGTTTCAGTGGCGGGAGCGGTGATCCCTTAGCGTCTCGTATACGTAATTATTTAGATTACCAGCGAACCTTTTAGGTATAACAAAAACCGAGGGTTATAACGGGTCCGGGGCAAAAAGTGCTAAGTGCAAAAAGTTTTTTGTAGCTATTTGCACGTCAACAATTTCAACGTACATTTACGTGTTCTAAATTAAATTTTTGTCAGCAAAATTAAAAAGTTTTTGAGCTATTACTCTTTTGCTAAAAAGCGTAAGGTGTGAAAAACATAATGGAGTAATATGGTGGACAATGTCGAAAAATTATGTTATAGTCTTGTTGTACATATTTTAAAACTTCAGATTCTTTGTTCAGCCTCTAATTAATATAACTACGTAGGCGTCGAAAAAAACAACCAAGATAATCCTCGTTCAATGCTGTGTTGATTTAAAGTAACTCTGCCCAACTCACTACCACCGTATCCATTTCAGCCAAAAATAATTATAATAATTATAATTGTTTATTTAACCAACTACCACGCACACCTCTCTGTCTCCAACATTATCCCTACTTTAAATAGGTATGTTTCATGCTTTTTAGTTATGCCTATGTTGTATGTAGTGTGTAGAGTCGAAAGAGTAGAATGGATGTTGGTTATTCTATAGCTATAACTTAGTACGTGTACTTCGTACGTGTGGACCCCGTTTTAACACCTTAGGGGATATATTTTGGAAAATCTCGTCTTATGTTGTAAAGGGAACCCCCACGCAAAATTTAAGACTCCTAGCATTTGTAGTTTCTGAGATTTCGTGATGAGTGAGTGAGTCAGTCAGTGACCTTTCGCTTTTATAGATATAGATTAGTAATCTGTGCATTAACCTTTTAAAAACTCTTGTCGCAAGATGCGCAATACACAACCATGCAACTGTTCATTCGTCACATCACGAGTAAATTCTCGTCCCACGGCAAAGCCGGATTATCTCGTCCAACAAATGTCCCGGCAGTGCCGGCCGGCACAATCGGCTCGTAATTAGACGTTACATTTGGAAACTTTCGACTTCGTGAATTCGTTAACGGGTGTCAGGATAATTAACGCCCGTATTTACAAACATTACTGTGAGGTCTCACAGTGCGCGTGGACGCACAGGGTCACATAAAAACCAATCACAGAGCTCTATTCAATGTGCGTTCGATTTGCTGCTTCACTTAAGCAAGTATCGTTTGTGAATACGGGCAAATAAGTCAGTTTCATGTAAAAAACATTGACATTTAAAAAAGTACCAAAGCTTATACTGCAATTAAGCTTGTGTAGGTGGTAGGTGCTTAGGAAGCTTTTTAGGCTAAGCCTATGTTAATTCAGCTCGCGATAGCCTGGATTCAAGTTATTATTAATTGTAAGTTATGTAGAGAGATATTTTATTTCTGAAAATCAGACATATTTTTTTTTCACATTTGAAACCCAATTTGATCGTGGTTCTACATAACACTTATGTACTCTCGTAGCACGAAATGATATTTTTATTTTTGCGAATGAAACGGTTTTACTAATTTGTAATCATAGTACCACGTACTCGTAGGTATCACAAGTCATACGCAATAAGGCGGAATATCAATTAATAGTCGCAATCCGATGATCATAATTACAATAAACAAGCAGCAGAACTAAATTTGATTACAGCCTGTAGCCAAGAGGCGTACAATCACGCTCATTTGACAATAATTAACACATGTAATTACTGTTCCTAAGGCAACGGGGTGATTGGAAATGAGAAAATGTTATTAATATGATTTATCGCGAATCATTTTCCTTATTAGAGCTGATTGACAAGGATCTTAAGTAATTAAATAAGGACTTGACTGTGCAACCTGTGTATAAATGAGATAAACAAGATTAGAAATAAAAATGTCATTTCGTATGTCAGTCGCAAAATCGCAATAAAGTTGTCTTCATGCTGTGCCAGTCGAAAAATATGGTTTTATTGAGGTTAATGGAAGACAAATCTTTATAATTTTTTTCCACAGTAGCTACAACTATTAATATCAAAATAAAAATGTTCACCAGCTTGCATAGCAAGCACGGAACCCTACAAATCTAAGATTTATGACGCACAAATTGAAAAATTGTTTACTTAAATACGGTCAATTCTTCAACACTCATTTGATGGATTGTGAGTGAGAAGAGTACATGTGCAGCAAGACAAACTACCACTCTTAACGTTTGTTGCGAAATATAAATAAAATTTTGTCATTATTTACGTACACATTATGTCAACATAAAGTTATTTTAAGTGCTTAACTCGCATTGTAACACAATTTTAACTAAATAACAAGCATACATACAAGCCTTTGTTAAAAGTACATCAAAACGACTTGCTTGCAAAACAACAAAGTGAAATATAATTTTGCACCGTACAAGAAAGTTTTCTTAATCTCTCTGAGTGTTTGCCAAGACTCAATTTCGGGGTCCATTTGTATAAATACTCCCAGGATAATTAGTGCACTTTGTATTATTATTTTTGTGAAAACGCCACGTTGAATGTTTTACGAGCATCCCTTGCTGTATAATTTTAGACTCGTCTGTATTGTGTATTAGAGGAGAAAATAGAGCTGACTCTAGATGACTAGGGAAAAAGCAAACAAATTGCTTCTTGAAAAAGTCGAGACAGAAAAAAACTTAACACGTAACTGTATGGAAGTACATTTCAGTCAAATAGTTTGAATAATGAAAGAAAACACTCAGGTAAACTTTTGCTGGCTTCTCAAGAGGTTTTAGACTAATTATTTCTAAGGTCCTTAGTTTCACTAATTGTATTGAAAATGATGAAGCCTGAATAAACCTTACACTTTTCGCCCCATGTTTGTAATTACAATAAAATAATGTCCTCTAGATTGTCTGGAAGAGATGATATATAGCGATAAGACCGCCTAAGTTGAGCCGTATATTTTGAATATTTTCTTATCCTATGTGGTATTATAAAGTACGTTCTATCTTTCTATCTTATATAATATGAAACAAACCGTTGACTTTACTTGTTTTTAGTAACTAAGAAACAGCCATTTAGGTTACCCTTTAGTAAAAGTAGAACTAAATTAATCGCCTAGCTTACAAATACAGCCCAAAAGGACACGTACAAAACCTCGGCCAATCTTAACTCTAACCAGTAATGGTAATTTCAGGTGACGAGGGCTCTAACGACCCCATCGCTCATCTGCCGCCTCAGGACATGGAAGCCCTACTCTGAACAATTCGTCTCTTTCACTTACCTTTGGAAGCTGGTAAGAGTGAAAGAGCTGATTGATTTCGTTAAGAGGACCTTATAAGATGAAAAATACGTTATAGGTAATATTTTTTTGTGCATTTTTAAACACTGAAGTTTTTTTAATTTACTAAATTGAAAAAAAAAAAAATCCTTTACAATAGGCAAGATGACAACATTTCAATTATCTGTCCGTCAGACAGATAATTAGAAAATATTAGACTCATATTTTTTATTTCCTTTCATAATTAAATAATAACAGTGCTACATCGAGTTGAAATGATGCGATACGTCACGCTTGAGCAGAATTTTTACTCAAAAGTGACGTCAGTTACGTCAGTTAGAGAGACAAGCGACGAATTGGAATACGTTCGTTATTTCTTATGATTGTCCGATGAAATTCGATCAATCAATCAATAAACAGCAAATCTCTTTAATTCTTCTACCATGCTGAATTTAACCAATCTGTCTTTCTGAACCTCAAAGAATTGATAAGTATGCAGATGAACCATTCCAAGTAATTAAGAAATGACAGCAAGATAATCTGCCTAAAACACGAACACTTAATCTCGGCGCTAACCAGAAGCGATGACGGTAATTGCAGGTGGCGAGGGCTGTAACGGCGGCCATCCTTCATCTGAACCGGGACAAGTCTGTTTTAAATTGCGATACAACGTTTATGTACCTAACTCAGGCTCTGTTAAAATATGGAAACCACTGACCGTATGTTTGGGAAAATTCTTTAATTTTTGTATTGACGTAATATATTTTATGATTTGCCGCTCGTAAATATAAACGTAAGTTGCCGCTACAACTATTATGAAATAGCTAGACGTTCCATCAGATTCAGTAAAATATAATTTAAAGAAAAACGTATCATTGACTTATAATATTAGAGCTTCGTTCTCACTAGAAGATATTTCAACAAATTGCCAAATAAATATCTTAATATAAAGAAACAAGCACGTCTCTTGTCGCAAATGCAGTCAATTTTAGGAGTAATTTTGGACAACGGTCGAATGGCGAACCCCTAGGGGTTCGCGTACCTATCCCACTTTGAGAAAGCCGGCTCTAGCGCATCAATACCAGAAATGTCTCCTAGTGAATACGCTGCTTATTTTGGACAAATGGAATGTCTATCATCAAAAAGGACATGCATCACTGACCGATCGATCGCCGTCGATCGACGAAGGTCTTACTTTGGCTAAAATTGACAATGGAACATCTAGGAGAGCGCTTGAGTCTAGCGCAACAAACTCTGAAATATCTCCTTGTAATTACGCTGTTTTTTGATATGATGGAACGTCATCATCGAAAAAGACATGCTCACTGACTGATAGAGAAGGGATTGATGACTTTGGCTAAGGTGGACAAATGCCACCTCTAGCGCATAAAACTCTGTAACGTCTCCTAGTGATTACACTGCTTATTTTGGAATGATGCAACGTCTAAACGGTAAAAGAACATGCATCACTGACCGATAGATCGCCGCCGTAGAAGGGGTGGATGACGAAGGTCTCGTTGCCGATGTGGATGACGCCAGACACCCCGTTGCAGGTGTGGAAGGCGGCTGAGGCTCCGGGGTAGTCCTTGACTGTGCCGTGGTAGTAGCAGTGCTCGATCTCCTGTTGACAAATAAGGGATTATTGCTTTTATGTCTATTTATTTATTTATTTATATTATGTACAGACAAATAATCACACAAAAAATAGGACAGAAATCAGCATAGTTTACACAGTTAAAATGAAATCCATTAGAGGTAAGGTCTGAAATCATGGGTTTGTTTCAGCCGAATGACGTCCACTGCTGGACAAAGACCTCCCCCAAAGATTTACACAAAGACCGGTCCTGCACCGCCCGCATCCAGGCAAAAAATCATGGGTATTACAGAAAAATAACAGTTGAATCTTTTTTGATGATACCTTATAAATCTCCCACAAGACATCAATTAAGAGGATCAAATAGGACGTGTTAAACGTGGACATTTTATCAGCCTAATTGTAAAAAATAAATTATTCTTTTGACTTTTAGAGACGGCGAAAGATACTCAGCATGTAATTTATTAGGAGTTATAGCTAGCATTAGAGATGAAAGAATCTATTTCTGTGTAAGCTGAAGGTTTTCTTATTCAGTCGTTCAGGCCAACGACCTCATTAACCATTATTATCGAAATTACTTTCTAAAAACTCCGATTTCACCGTCTCACATACTAATAATGATGAAATTTTTCCGTATTTGTAGAGCAAAATGGAACTCCGAAAAATATTCATTGTAATCAAAGTCCAAACTGAAATCATATAAAAATTTAAAACATCATTAATCACCAATATTTTTTTCGGGACTGTTAATTTCCTTTAACAGTCCCGAAACTTACTTTATTAGAGAAATATTTGATTAGTGAACAATTTATTAAAATCTTATTTTCGCGAGCAATTTTCCCTCTTTTAGCCCAATTATGTTTTGTGTCACTCCGTGTAAGCTCCAAGATGGCGGGTGCTTGCCCGTAATGGCGGCCGGCGTTAAAAAAACGCTCAAATTCAATAAATAATGCGAGGAGGCAATTTTATGCTCTAGCAGACCTTCTAATTTGTCATTCACGAGTATCGTCTTTTCGGGTGAGGGTGGCCCATGAAACAGGCGGTAAATTGACAATTTGGAAGTAGGTAAGTACTTGAGGTAGTTGGTAACGGGAAACGGTAGTGAAGTTTTATAAGCTAGGAATTGTTGTAGTGCTAAGAATGCTTGAGACTACTTTGTTCAGTTTCATTTATAAGTACGTGGTCGTAACAAAATTTGGTATAAATCAGTTTCTTATTAATTCTCCTCCGGTAATAAGGTATTCGTATGTCTTATAAATTGGCTCATTCTGCACCAAGATCTGTCTTATTGCGTGGTAAATAAGTATCTTGGATTGGATAATTGTGTAAGCGAAAAATAAGTGTCTTGATTTTAAATGTAATAGTAAGGTACGATTGAATTAAGCTTTTTACAAAAAAATATATTCCTCTGCTATTCGCTCATGCCATGGCCCAATCTAAAAGCCTTGATAGCAATTAGGTAGGTACCATACTTTTTGCTATACACAGGGACCGAACTGAACAAGTAACCGAATGGGCCCCGTTGAATGAAGAACCAATGAAAGAACTTCTTTCGTCCAATAATATAATTTGCCCGTATCCAGCTTTTATTATGGAGATGTTGCTTTGGGCAAAGTTTGTGAGGGCCAATTTTTTGCAAAAACCTTAATTAAACACTGAATTATTTCAAATAAAAAAGGTGCTATTTTGAAATAATTCGGTGTATAATTAAATCTCCACTAGTATTATAAAGTGGAAATATTTGATTGTTTGTGTGTATTGAATAGGCTTCAAAACAATTGAACTGATTCGAAAACTTATAATCCCTGATGAACATTTTCAAAAGGGATTAATTTGGCGGTACGAAGTTCGCCGGGTCAGCTAGTTATAATACAAATAAGATATAACAGTTTTAGCTTGATATTCTGTCCCTAATTACTATAGAAAATAAACTTCTTTAAGCTTGTATTTTCTGAACAATAAAAATACTAAAAAATATACCTGTATTTAGCGCTAGTTTTTAAACAAAGAAGAGCATTATAATTGTATTCTCGTTACAAAACGGGACTTCAGTATTCTCATTTCGCCCCGACGTTTGTATCTGATACACTTATTTACGTTAAAATTCCAGGAACGAGCTCTCTGACTGAGTTAATTGAAGTAAGTTTCTGCCAAGAGATGCAGTCGCTAATGCATATTTCGATGTCATGCAATTATCTTGCTAGCTATGAAATTGTTTCTTAGAAACAGATAGAAAGAAAGAAAGAAAGAAAGAAAGAAACATTTATTGCCATGGACATCACAGAAGACAAAATATGTAAATAATAGAAAAAAAAGTAAATAAGACATAGGTGACATAAAACATACAATGAAAGTGAAAGTAAAACTGAGCAGTGCCACCCTGTCGCACAGTGATGTCCATCGCAATGGGACCCCACTCAGCATATGCCATGGCCCCCGGTGAGGGAGGCCACGACGCTGGTTTTCAGTGTGCCCCATGCCGAGTGGGAGTCACGGACACTAACCTATACTGCATAAAATATACATACATAAATAATAATAATAATAGTGCGCGTATAAATTTTAAGTGTAAGTACAGTATAATATTATTATAAAGAAAAGATGTAATAAGATATTATAAAAAAACCGGCCAAGTGCGAGTCGGGCTCGCGCACAAAGGGTTCCGTAGCAGCAAATATAATAAACTTATTATGTCAATTTATACACCTGGTGAATGGAGCCTAAACTCTCCCGATATTTTGCCTTGTACTTTTATGTATGAATATTAATTTTATATATGTATTTATAAATATTCCGAGCTAAAGAGGTGGCAAAAGCAATGGCAAACAAACCACAATCAATAGTATTCGGTTGTCGCTGAACACTTGGAAACTGAATACATGACTCCGATAGATACGGAAACAAGGCTTTTACATATATTTTTTGCGATTTTCCTAGAACACCAACAAGACTATCGTACACACGCAGTATTCCATTAATGTAATAAATACAACTCCAGTGCCCCACTAATCCCACGTCACCGTCATAAATTACTTGAAGGTGCGTCTCATTTTTAGGTACAGGTTCAATCAGTTCAGGGTGTTGAAATAATTCTAGCTCACGCGGTCTAAATGATGTGCACCGAAGTAACTTTTCATGAAATGCGCGAACCACATCATCTTCGATATAGTTATTATAATTCAGAATGTAGGAAAACGTATTATCTAAAGTATCCATTGTTAGATGATATACAATAAGCTTTAGAAATTTTAAAAACCTGCTACGAAACACTAAAATTTGCACCAAAAACAAAGGAATTTATATTATTGGGGGATTTATTAGTACGTGACCGGTTTAATAGCACCTATTAAACCAGTATACCTACTTACTTATTTTTTATAATAGGTACAATTCAATATTAAAAAGTCTCAACGCCAAATTCGACTTGCGAAAGAAGTAAATGGGAACGATGAAATTCTCTTAGCGCGCACAAGTGACAACGACGTCTGCCCTCACGTGTCTGCCCGTTCGGGTCGACGCGGTTAGCTATCTTATCCCCGCTCCCGCGCGAGACCACGCCCCGCAACTCACGCGCTGCAGCGCAGCGAGCGACCGATCTTCTTGAATCGATGTAATAATAATCTATAGGATTAACGCGTTTTAAAAATATTGGTTCGATGGATATGTTTAACCTATTATTACTCAACAATCACATTTGTAATATTAAACTTTATCAAATGCACAATGTATTTAAGGTACATTACTGGATAAGGATTAATGGCGTATTGCTTGAATAAGCTAATATTTCTCGTAAAAAGTACCTACATTATAAAGATTTTATATCATCGCGGATTTTAAAAGGTGTACAATACTGTAGTATATTTTTTGATCTATCTTATAAGGTTCAGCCATCGTTTTCAGTGTAAGCACAATAACTTAACCAAAATTACAGTTAAATCAACCTATCTCAAAAACTATAAGAGATACTTTGATCAAACCAAAAATCGTTGAAAGAGTTAATTAGCATGCATCACCTCTATTTTTTTTAGAATTTTATACCCCGTAGTTATAAAAATAGAGGGGGGGGGACATACTTTTTACGACTTTGAGAGCTGATATCTCAAAAACCGTTCACTTTAAGAAAAATGTTTTTTAGAAAACTTTATATCATTTTAAAAGACCTTTCCATTGATACCCCACACGGGTATGTACATCGAAAAAAAAATTTTCATCCCTCAGTTACATGTATGGGGGGCCCCACCCCCAATTCTTTTTTTTACTATTTAGTGTCATAATTTTGTAGCGGTTCATACAACACATATTCCCATCAAATTTCATCACTGTAGTACTTATAGTTTCCGAGTAAATCGGCTGTGACAGACGGACAGACGGACAGACGGACAGACGGACAGACGGACAGACGGAAATGAAGAAACTATAAGGGTTCCGAATTTGACATTTTGGCTACGGAACCCTAATAAAACGATAATATTTGAAAAACAAAACTGTGTGGGTGTACATAAATAAATTGTAATGTAATAAAGTAGCTGTATTTTATTTTATTCTCTACAACTTGTCGTGGGTGTTTCGTTCTTTTAATTTCGGTTTGCTTTCGTATGTGTTTGAAACGAATGCTCTACAAGTCGCTTCGGAAAAAAATGGCAATTGAACCGTTATTGATAGTTTTTTATTTTTTAAGTAATGCTAAGGGCTTCCCACGGACTTATGTCGTTTTTTGCAGAATCCTGTTTATTAGTATACGTGTTTTAAACTTTATATTAACTTTCTCAAGAACATCCCGTTTGCAGTGTACCGCAAAAAACCGATCCGTTTGAATTTGGAATTTCAATTTCAAACACACAATGTGTGTATGTTCACACTACAGTCCAGTCTTGCGGGATTCAGTAATTCAGGAAACTGGACCGTGGGTACGAACCTTAGCCTAGGCGCAAACCACCGATTTTTAGCTGGCTGATAGTTGGGTCGGGTTTTTAATCATTACACCGATTTGATATCGGCCGATTCTTCATACAAATTAGAATCGGGCC